TTTCTTAAGGTTTGGGGTTTAGGGTTTAGGGTTTAAGGGTTTAGGGTTTAGGGGTTTAGGGTTTAGGGTCTGGGGTTTAGGGTTTAAGGGTTTAGGGTTTAGGGTCCAATGTAGGGGGCCTAAATAATTACCAATACTATTTCCGGGGCTCCTTATTATAAGTATAGTACAAAGGCCCCCAAAACCCTATTCTAATTATCAAGGCCCCTATATTTGAGGTGTTCTTCTGGTTGGCTCTTAGGACTTTAACTTTTTGGGTCTCTATACGAACCATAATAAGGAGACTAAAAGTCTAACTTTTTGGAGGGGGTCAGAAGTCCGCCAAGTTTGGGGCTCCCTTGAGGAGTTCTTAAAGTTTGGGGTTTAGGGGACCTTATTGATCAGAACCCGCTGAATTCCTGGCCACTAAAAAGGCTTAGTATCCCTAAACCCTAAACCCCGAAAGCCCTGGGCACACCTGTAGGGGCCATAATAATTTGATTCGGGTGTTATTGTTGTGGAATGTTTCCTGGGCAGTTTTGGGGAGACCCCTTAAAGGGAACCCTTCTGAACCCTACTTCTGGCTCTTAAAAGGGACCTCATTGAATGTACATCCCCAAGGGTCTCTATAATCTGAAATCCTAATATTACAATGAAGCTTCATACTGTTGATGACCATCTGTTAGGGTCTATAGTATAATGGGCCCCAAATAAAGCCCCTACAGTACCTTTCCGCAACAAGCGTTTCAGCTCCGCGCGGACGCAGCTGCAACCCAGATCCTTCACACACTACGCTGTTGAGGCCACCGCCCCATGCACCCTCTGTATAAAACCTTAGAAAACCTAATATAGCCGAAGAAGACGCTAAAGCAATTCTAAACCCTAAACTTCCAAACCCTGAAGCCTCAGCCAAAACATTGACCGTACCTGTAACCCCAAACCAGACAAACTAGTAATTAGGCTATGAGCCCTGTATCAAAGGGTTTAAGTTTAACAAAGCCCCATGTGGCAGCCTTCTTGCCCTGACCCGAGAAAGCCCCATACCCCATAATTAAGGAATGCCTGTAACCCCACCCGCCCCCACAAGATAGGTAGGTCATGACCCCTTTTGTTAGAAGGTACAGCCCTTGGAAGCAGCAGGTTTTTTTGGATCGCCAGACGTAGCTTAAACTCGAATATTATAGCCTCATAGAACCCTCATAGTGCCCTCCTGTAATTTCGAAGCCCCTTCATAGGATTTCATGGCCCCTTTCGTTAGAAGTTATAAGGTATTGCCCCTGAAAACAGTAGGTTGTTGAATCCCCAGGTAGAAGCTTAAACTCAAACATCACAGCCTTATAGAACCCTCTTAGTGCCCTTATAGAACCCCCTACAGGAGCCCTTATAGATCCCTTGAAGGAGCCCTTTAAGTTACAGAGTCTCATGAACCGTTAAGTAGACCCTAAACCCTTAAAGGGAACCCTTAAAGGTAACCCCTCCGGAATCCTTTTACAGCAACCCTTAAACGGAACCCTCAAAGGGAACCCTTGTACAGGAACCCTTGTACAGGAACCCGTAAAAGGGAACCCTTAAAAGGAAGCCATAAAAGGAACCCTATTACAGAACCCACCCTAAGCCCTAAACCCTAAACCCTAAACCCTAAACCTTAAAAGGAAGCCTATTACGGAACCCACCCTAAACCCTAAAGCCTAAACCCTAACCCTTAAAAGGAAGCCTATTACAGAACCCACCCTAAACCCTAAACCCTAAACCCTAAACCCTAAACCCTCAACCCTAACCCTTAAAAGGAAGCCTATTACAGAACCCTGTAGTACCCAAGTCCCATGGAAGCTCCTGGCTGAGGAAGTGTTGGACTCGGCGATGCAGGCGTACCAGGCTTTGGGGGTTTGGGGCTTTTGGGCTTTAGGGTTTAGGGGGTTTTAGGGATTTTTCGGTTTAGGAATTTTGGGGTTCAGGCTTTAGGGGTTCAGGGTTTGGGGTTTGTTTTTTGGGGGCTTAGGGCTTTTGGGGTTTAATTTAGGTCAGGTTTTAAGGTTAAGGCTCTGGGGTTTAGGCCGCTTGGGGTTTGGGTTTAATGGTCATTATTTTTTGTTGAAGAGGTTTTGAGTGGGTCTGTCTAGCTTGTTACTTGGGCTGTTTTAATTCCGCTTTGCCGGTTTAGGCCTTGGGCCTTGGGGTTTACCTGTAACCCCAAACGCCACATAATACTAGGTTATGACCCCTTAACTAGAAGGTGGAACGTCTGCAAGTGGTTCGAGCCGCACACGCCTGCAGTACAGCGCTACCGCGAGCCTCGCAACAGGGACGGCGGACCGATGTCCTACGGTCAGGTGGCCGGAGAGAGGCGCGGCAAAGCGTGGCAGTGCCCGCAGTGTGGATTTATCAACTGCAAGAAGTGCGCCAACGACTACAGGGGAGGGGGAAGTTCCCCGCTGTTTGTTGTCCCGCGCAGGAGAGGAGCGAGCAGCGACGTGCCACCCACTTCCCAGACTACCCAAAGGCTCCATGTACCCACGTAGTAGATACCCAGGCCTTAAAGTACCTATAAAGGGACCCCTTTAAGGCCTAAGTACCTACTATAAAGGTACATGGAGCCTTAGGACTACGGCAGATGCCCGCGGCACGGCTCGCCCCTCCGCCCCGTGGTGCACGGGTCCGGCCGGCACTGGGGGAGGTCGTGCTGAGGTGTCGGAGATGGTGCTGTCAAGAGGAGAATGAGAAAGCAAAGCCTCTTGGGCCGAACTTCGCCGAAGATGATCGATTAAAACCCTAAAGCCCTAAACCCTAAACCCTAAACCCTAAACCCCTAAACCCTAAACCCCTAAACCCTAAACCCTAAACCCTAAACCCTAAACCCTATTTATGCTGTCTTGGCCGCACAACGTCTTCGACGGGAGCCTGGCTACTGGACCGTGCTCAAGGCCTTGGCTGCGTACAGACAGGACCTTGTGCACGAGCTGGGGCATGGCCCCCCCAGGAGTTTAGGGTTTACGGGTTTAGGGTTTAGGGGTTAGGGTGTAGGGTTTGGGGTTTAGTGTTTAGGGTTTAGGGTTTAGGGGCAAAAGACACGGACTGGCTGAAGCTCTGAGTTGCTCCCAGGCAGAACATGTGCGAAGCAGGGGCTTGCTCACTAAACGCCTTCACTTCGATTCAAGGCCTCGATGTGTCTAAAACCCAAGCTGCAGTGCATTTCCGACCAATTTAACTGTAGTCTCGGTGCCTCAAAGTTGTTCACTTGCCAACGTCTTTAAAGCCTGAAAGTGCTGCGCCTGCCATGTAATCCTGCTTGACCTACTACTTCATGCTTTCAGCGGCACGCGTGAACAGCAGGTTGGAGCGTTGTTAAAAGAACCCTTTGTTGGGCCTTTTATAGAACACGTTAAAGGAATCCCTAAACCCTTATATGCCAGATAAACCCTAAGCCCTAAACCCTATTTTTGAGAACTACCCGTATTTTGCCAGATGGGAGCCTCGGAGACCCGGCGGAAGACGGCAGGGGAGCCGGATGTGGATCTGAACCAACTGGTCGAGGCTCTGGGATTTATTAGGGTTTAGGGTTTAGGGTTTAGGGTTTAGGGTTATGATTTACCTTGACCCCAAAGAACCTACCTTTAATCTTGTATAAGGAAATCATAGTAAGAGGAACACTAACAAGGTAGGTTGTTTGGGGTCCAGGTGGGGTTTAGGGTCCAGGCTTTGAGGGTGGTGCCTTCAGGGCTTTTGGGGTGCAGGTTTTTGTTGGGTTTCGGGCTTTGGCTTGAAGGGTTTAGGGCTTAGGGTTCAGGCTTAGGGTTTAGGGTTTAGGGCCTAGGGTTTAGGGTTTAGGGTTTAGGGTTTAGGGCTTAGGTTTGAAGGGTTCAGTTTTTTGGGGTTCAGGTTTAGGGCTTAGGGCGTAGGTTTCGGTTTTAGGCAGCTGAATCAGCGCGTGGAGGCTCTGAGGTGTAGGGTGTCACAGGGTCCCTCTGAGGGTTCTTTTCAGGGCTCTTTGAAAAAGGGACCTATAGGGCTTTTTAGAGTTCAGAGTTGAAAGGCTTAGTAACCCTAAACCCTAAAACTACATACGGCAACATTCAGTTTTCCAGAAGACTCGCTAGGGGTGTCTGTTTAGTATAGGGCCCTTAATAATTTGAATGGGGTTTTGGGGTATATTACACTATACTTAAAAATAAGGAACCCCCAAACCAAACCCCTAACCCCTAAACCCTACGCCGTAAACCCTAAACCCTAAACCCTAAACCGTAAACCCCAAACCCTCGACCTTGGCCCCTAAACCCTAAACCTTGAACCCTAAACCCTAAACCCTCGACCTTGGCCCCTACACCCTAA